AACATCTATATTCTGATTTTGGTCGTATAATAACTGGTAAGGCTCCTTTTATTAATCCTACGTCAGAAGGTCCGGTAGACCACACTGTCTGAGGTACTTCAGATAAGAAGTCCTCATCTTCCTGTGTCAAAAATATTCATCATGGCTGTTGGTCAAAAGGTCTCAGATTAGCCTGTCCAGTCATCCTAGTTGTCCAGAATAATGAGCATTTTGTTAAACCAGTCTCTGCGCTTGCCCAGGTATTTATTCCAGTCACTATCCAATCTCTGGCATTTTGTCCTCTATGTACCATTCTACCTAGATCTTTCCATTCCCACTCTATAGGCTTGTAGAGTGAGATGTGTGGAGGCAGGTGATTTCTGTACATTTCATCTTTTGTGTGTTGATCCCATGGGAGTATTACACTAGCTGCACTGGCACTGTTTGCATCACTATAGATGTAGTCTACATCTATATTTTTGCGCATTTTTCTTTCATTATTTTCAGTTCTTTCTTTTATTTGCTCACGCAACCTCTCGAGTTCTTGCACATTTAATCTTCCCTTAAAATTTTATTTTGTTATCCATTTCTCTAGATACTTGACGTTGTTTTGTCTTTTACTTTCCATCACCTTGTAGTCTTTACATATTAACCTATCTGTAGATCTCCCTGTTAATTGGTTGTTTCCCATTTTGAAACAATTTGGACCAGTTTTGTCACTCCTAGGGAGGTCTCTAAAAACTGGTTCAAATTTTCTTGATTGAGATAGTGATGAAATTCTCACTTCAATCCATCAAGGTGGAGAAATCTTGTCTTTACATCCACAAAGACTCACTATTTCCTTTCTCAATCGGTTAGTATGAGGACAATAATATAGTGGTTATTATCTTCCATTCACATGACCATTCTCACTCAAGGACTTTTTCTCTTTCGTTTTCCAGAATTTAACACGAAGAGGACTGCGCCTTAATGTATTTACAGAATTTTACTCCCTAGCCTGTTAAATTACATCTAGTAGTTGGACATCCTTTAGTTTTACCTATTAGAGCCTAGGATTGATAGGGTTTTTCTACGCGCAATGACCCTCAGTCACTCGCTTTTTAACAAAAGTCCTACTCACTGTCTGTTGTCTTTCTCCCTCGGACTCCCGTCAACCATCAGACTCCAACCGACGAGAAGACAACCATCCCGGAAAGGGTCTCAAAGACTCGCTGTCGAGTCCACCCTGGCCACGGTCTTTCTGGATTCTCAACGTCCGTTGGAGTCCTCAGGTGTCTTGGGATCCAGCTCGAAGGACCAAGTTAATGTCAGGTTTAAGCCCACCTAAACATTGTAAAAACAAGAACAAGAGATTAATCAGGTTTTACTCGCGAGGAGAATGGACAGAAAGTGCATACAGTTACAGCACTCAGGTCCGTCTCCTCTTTTTATTTCCTTAGGGTGGTCCCTAGTTACAATGGGTGTTTCTGCTCTAAAGGGAGGGGTTGAAAACAGAAGAAACACCAGACATCATTATTCATTGTATAAATATGTATTATCAACAGCAGGTGACTGGTAAGGTGCACTGTGTAGCATATCAGTAGTCAGGGAGTCAGGGAGTCCTAAGAGACAGTTCCTTCTCTGCAACCTTGAGAACTGTCTCTTCCCAGCAGAGCGTTGAATCAGCCATTGTGTACGTGTTGTGCAGAGTGGGTGAAAGGTCACTGCATACAGTTTCTCAAGCACAAAGACATTATTCAAAATTTACACAAAAACACAATACATAGAAAATATGGGATAATATACAATTATTCTAACAGCCACCATTTTATCTTTGTTAAGACCTTAAGGGTAGAGTGGGTTCTTTTACTACTGGACTTAACCAGTAAATGAACTGCTTATACATTTTGGATTGTAATGTTTCTTAAATTGATAATATGTATATGAATGTATGCAAATTGGAAATCCTAAAATAGAATCTTAAATATTCAACCTAAAGCGGTAAAACTAAACAAAAATGGAACAAAAACTGCTTGTGCATTGTAGCTTACTGTGTGCCTGTGCCTTGCCCTTACATCACAGCACTAGCCGTAATGTGTTTGTAGAGGCGTACTTTATGTCTTTGCACTGCATAACCTAAGTGACACAAACAGGCTGTGAATGTGAGGGGGCAGTGGTGGAAACATTTGTTCATTTGACGATCATCACCGCTTTCTCCAGTCTACACTCATCTCTCTCTTTTAGTCAATGCCCAGCCATGTTTCTTCATTTATAAACCATTAAGATTGCTGCGTCTTCACTCACCCATCCACTCTCCCCTCTGTCCGTTGTCTGATGTCTCCGAGGCGTGTGGTGTACTGCAAATTTCAATGAGCACATAAGCTAACATACAGCTTTCTTCATATTTACAGATAATGTAGCTGCCTGTGAGAAGATGGACAGCTTTTTGTCACATCTCTAAAAATAGCATTTTATGTCAATATACCACAAAAAACAGTACAGTATGTTCCAAATATGTTTATTTAAACATGAAGCAAAGACAAAAGCTAGTCATCCAACTGACACAGTAGAGCAGAAGCTTTGGAGATCCAATAATCACTTGGTTGGCTGGACGGAAGCATGACTGTCACGACAAAGTTTGTAGAGTGGCCTGGATAGAGACAAAATATGAAAAAAAAATGTAATAAATAAACAGCTTGTATAGTTTGGATGGATGTTCTCTATTTTAATGAAGTCATATTTTCAGATGAATGGCAGAGGACTATGGAACTCCATGGGGATTTGCTGTTTTAGAAATAAATATTTCAATTTGAATAATATGACCCACCCACTTGGTTTCACAAACTTGCAATTTTTGTCTTATGGCTTTAACTTCTTTCAGCTGACAGCAATTTGGGGCATTCCCTTCTGAAGGTGTTGTAACGTAACTTGTAACTATTATTATTTTTTGTTTTGAAAGAGAACCCAATTAACTTTGTGTCAGTTTTTGTTTCATGAAGCTATACCCAGTAATTACAGATATACTAACCATAAACCATGTGCCAGTGCTGGTTAAACTAAACAGTAAAACCAAAAAGCTGTCCTCCAGCTCAACTATAGGAATGCTAGAATGTTGTGATGTAAAAACTGGGTTTGTTAATTCATGGGAAATACTATGCAACCTCCCAGTACACACCAGTAGTGGAGAGAGTCCCAGCCCGAGCAGAGGTCTTGTACAGAGGAGCCTCGTACAGTTTGGGATCAGGGGTGTAGTTCTGCTGAGGCTCAAAGTGCACCACTGGTAACATGGAGTTCATCACTCGGGGTAAAGCGTCTGCAATCACCATGTTGTCATCGTCCCAGCGGCTCGCGTCCATAAACACCCCATGGATCAGAACTCCGTCCTTTGGATCAGGCAGCTGTTGTGAACACAAGAAAATATACAACCTTAGCATTTAATGAACAGCCTCAAGATATAGGGTCTATGCCCATTTTTTTCATGTAGTAAAGTTTGTCTAGCCCCAGTACAGATTTATTGTAAAGCTGCTCTTAGGGTCAAAATGAAACATGTCATGTGCTCATAAACAAGTCTCTCATACGTGTCATGTCTGCATTTAATTATAAGCTGTTTTTGTCTGTACACTGTTAGCATGTTATTTGTTTTGGTAGTTGAATAACATGACAGCAAAAACACTTCTCATCAGGATCATGTACAGCACTAAAGTTCATACATTATCCATTATTTAGACATTTTAAATGACTCCTTCACCTTGGTGTTTCTAGGTCTAATGAAATAATGTATATGTCTAGGAACTACCTCTAGGTCTTAGCTGTCATGAAATTGATGTATACCGTAACCCAGCAGCCAAACACTTTGTATCAAGCTAAAAACAAACATTGAATTAAGCATTGCAGGCATAATAAAAAGTTTAGTGACTGCATATGAACATAGAGGAGCTTCATAGATTACAAATCCACTGCCATAGAGGAATGTGTGGCAAGTATTTTGAGCTCTGCAGGACACAACATTACAACATGTGCAAGGCAAAGAAAGAATATGTCTAGTATAATAATATAAAAATGCACTTTTTTCAGCCCAGCATTATTACCTCATCATCCATGTCAAGTTTAGCATTTTCTGGGAGACCTCGTATCACTTCACTCACAACAGCCTGATCCCTGTAGGCCGGCACCATGTTAAAGCGAAAGCTCAACTCATCGATAGGCAAATTGTAATGTCTTGCATGATTCTGCAGCACTCCTATAAAAAAACAGATTAGAAAGATTACTCTTTATATAATCCAACCTTATGTTGCTGCTATGGTTCATTAAAAAAACGTGACAATGTTTTTACCAGTGAGAAAGCCTTGAGGGAAGAAGAACCCAGAGATCCAGAACGATTTGGGCTGTCCACGTGTGATCCAAGTCTAGCAAAGGAGGGCACAAGAGAAGAGAAGAGCAGCTTTTTTTTTTTTTTTTTTGCTTTGCATGTTTTACTAACCATGGTGCATAACCAGCCTAGTGTATCTTATGGGACTTTAAAGGGACCCAGCTCTCTATAAGTATCAAAAATCTGCATAAACCTAATATTAGTTTAAATACATATTAGACAGTATAATATACACAGATTTTTTTTTTGTTCTTTTGCTTACCTGAATAAAAAATGTTCTGAGCACCAGATCTTTGACCCATGAGGCGAGTGTTTTGAGGGAGGGGTATGCAGAGTTGGCCCAGTGACTCGGGACCTGGTTGTTGAGGAAGCTCGTGTAGATACGGTCCATCTCCTCTGACATCACTACCAGACCCCCAATGGCCTTTTGTAGCGTTACAAGAGAAGTCTAAGAGACAAAACAAGGTATATAGCCAACATTTTAACTTTTTTAACAAGGCAGATCTGTTGGAGAAAGTGTTTTTACAATTTTAACTAATTCAATCAATATTTTTTTAAAGTCCACACTGATCTCTGCTCCTGCTTCTTTAACACCATAGGATTGGCAGGTAGACTTGACAAATGTAATCACAGCATGCATTCCATTCGACCTAATTCAATTTAAATTTGATCAATTATACATTTGATCAATTTTTATATATATTAAAAAAAAAGCACATTGTACAACAATGTACAACTTGACTTGAACTTCACAGTATACACAATGTACACCAAGGGCTCATTCAAAGTGCATGGTTTTCTTACGATATGAAAACATGAATCTTTTAGCAAAGAGCACAAACCATAAATATAGTCGTGTGCCTCACCTTGAGCACTTTGAGTAAATTGTTGAATCGATCTGCCTCCTGGCCCAGCACGGTTGTGAGCGAGTTCAAGCGTCCATGTTCATCTCGGATAAACAGGGACTCTGTAGCTTCACTCATGTCCAGATGCTCTGCGGGTGGACAGAAAAATAAAAAAAATAAAATATATATTGCCATACTAAATTGGACTGGATAAGAACAGATACAATATGCAATTTAATGGGTACTAACTAGGGAGTTTTTCCAAGATGGACATAGCCAACTCGCAGACTACATCATCATTACTCTTGGCCCCATGAGTGGCTGCAGATCGAGGGTTCACATCCAGTATGGTGCTAATTAAAGATAAAGTTTCTTGTCGCTGCAAATAAAAAGTAAAACAAATAGTGAAATCATGCTTCTAGGCACACAGAAAACTAAACCAAACTTGACAAGTCTAATTAACACAATGAGATAAAAAGCTTTCAGATGTTCTCTATGAAGTTTTTGGAGACTTAATTAATTACCTGAAAAGCCAAGTTGGCGTTCTCGTGCATACCAAACACCTCTGGATCATCAATAATGGGGAGACTTTCTATATAATCCCTGAAGTCCTTGAGATGACTAGACTCTGGGGCATAGTAGATCCCTAGCGCACAAACAAAACCAAAGTTAGTACTGTTGGCCTAGATTGTAAATGTTTTGTTTATAAAAACTATATGTTGTTACCATGGTAGAACTCCTACCTGAGGAAGAGTAAGTGTAGCCTGGACTCAGAGATGGAGGTGAGAAGAAGCCTTTCAAAATGGTTCTTAGGCATCGCTGATCCCAAACATCTGTCACTCTGCCTCCATATGTGATCTCACCTGAGGAAGAACATAGTGAAATCCTTAAAAAACAGGTTTGTAACAAAACACCAATTTTTCTCATTCCCATTCCTTGTTTTTAAAAAAATAGCTTGGTTAACAAGGTTTTAATGACATTTAGAACACACATATGAATTATTGTGATGAGTGAAAAAGTAATGAAAGGACTCTCTAATGTGCTGGTGAAATGGTGGTTTTAAGAGTCAGTGGTGGGAACAAAGCAAACAACTGACAGTTTGCCTGCCTCTATGTGTAATATTTGTTTCTTTGTTTCCAAATATGCATTGCCATAGTGTGTTTACAAGCTTTAAATAATCTTTTCTGAATTTGTTTCTGAGCATTTGCAATTAATTAAAGCAAAAACAATAAAATAATATATTACAAATGTTCTTATTTTGTCTATTAATGACACCAATTTATATTGAGGGACAGTTATCCAATGTATATGAATAAAACAACCTTTAATATAAATGAATAATAAATAAACTGGTCTCTGAATGCTCATTGTCAATTAAAGTGAATTAATGATTATGTCTTGGAATAAAAAATAAAAAAAATCAAAACTCCTAAAAAGTATCACAAACACTCGAACTGATAACAGGCTCCTGAAAATGTGCGGTTTAAATATATATATATATATGTACATATATATATGTATACATATATACATATATATATATATACATATATACATATATACATACATACATACATACATACATATATACATATATATATATATATATATACACACACCCCCCCCAGCACGATGTAACTGCAAAGTATAAATAAAGGATGCACACTGGTTTATTATTAGTAAGAAAATGTTAAATAAATTGTTTCCCTTTTTTCAGATTTCTCAAATAAAAATAGCAGATTGTTATGTATGACAAAAATGATTATTAATATTCTCACCAGTGATGTAAACAAGTGCGTCCCACGGGATGGAGCCGTCTTTGCAGTACAGGTTGAGGTTAAGCAGAGCACACTCCCTGTCACTATCATTGAACTCATAACGGATGTTCCAGCCTAGAGGGCCAAACTTCTTCCGCTCCTAGTCACAAAAAATAAAGCACAAAAGATATGCACATTGTGAATTATCCACGTTGACTTTAGGCAGACAGCACTTTATGAAGCAAAGAAGAAATTGCTACCTGGATTATTGCATGGAAAAAGCATATACCAAAGACGATTTTTCTCCAGTGGTTTCCTAGAACATGGTCCTCAAAGAAGTTTGTGGTGATTTCTGTGAAGGCTCTTCTCATATTTGCTCGCAGTCCTTTGGGAGGCTCATTCGTCACCTAGTAATCACATGAATTATTCAAATGGGAGATCGAGATGAAACAATGCATTCAAGTATCAAATAGAATAAACCCTCTTGTATAGGACTTTTTTTTTTTTTTAATCAAAGACCTAAGGCTATATTCATTGTAATTTTGAAACAGTGTGATGTCTAATAATCATTAAATCCTACTTCCCTCCAACCTTTCATATAAGATGAGGTTATCTAGTAGCTGTGCATTTCTAATAAAGCAATAATATTTGTCTTAGAATATCAATTAATAGGCTTTTCACCACTGGATAAGATAACGGGTGTTCCACTGTAACAAAATATCATGCATTGTCTCATTAAGGGAATGAAAATCAGATTGATTGAGCTTTTCAATTAGCCTTATTGCACTCTTATCACACCAAAACAACAAAAGAACCATTCCCCGCAGTCTGAAGTTTGGTGATTACAACGTCTGAGTGCCTTTTCGCAAACACACATTCCATCCAGTCATTTTAAAACACTTTTCCTAGGTGAAATTACATTGTAATATTTGAATTAAATAAGAAAAACTACCAAAATAAATGTACAAACCTTAACAGAGTTTTGCAATACTGTGACAGGAAATACTTTTGTGGGCATAGAGCTCAAGAATAACCGGAAGTTTTCATGGATCTTTGTATCTACAAGTGCAAAAAAAAAATGTTTTAATGAATTAAATAAGACCTACTTATACATAGATTTGGATAATTGAACTTGAATTATTGAATCTTGTATACCTGGTTCTGAGAATGTTTTGATAAGTTCCTCCATTGCCAGCATCCAGGACACAGCTAAATGACAGTTCTGAAGGAATACCCAGTTCCCACTTTCCATTGCTTCACGTATCATCTTTTCGGCTATCGGCCCTTGTCCCTGCCCCAATGAAATAGACTCAACCCTGCATAAAAGAAGATCAAGTGAGCATAAAACTCCAACCAACATGCGTTGCCAGTAATGACTAGCAGTAATGTTAAATACTTTTCAAGATAGCCTCGTTCTTTGGCAAAGCGCTGGAAGGCACCCATGGGATCAGAGCCGGTGCTGAGGATGAACACGAGTGGGGTGCAGGGAGACATGTCGTTGTACAGGTTGGCAAGGTCAACTGGGGGGTTCTCCACAAACTGTTTCCCCAAATTGACAATCACAAACTCAGTAGCAGCGAATACAACCTGGAGAGGAGTGAACTCATTTACTTAAGTGACAAGAAACAGTGAAAAAAACAAAAAAACAAAAAACAAATAATGATCCTCAACTAATAATGAGCATGATGAACAAAATGTAATATTCATTATTGTTTTTGTCTAGAAGGGCCAATATTAAGCTATTTTTGAGTCTATGTTATGATGTTGTTACCTGTTGTTGTTTTTTTTGTTTTGCTTCATCCACACACACATTTAACACACAAGCCCTGCATATTTAGGATGAGTTCTTCTCTCAAACAGACAACACTCTTTTCTACCTTGTGATGTCATGTTATTTTGAACATGAGATATAGACGGACTAAATGAATGTGATTCTTCTAACTAGTTTCATAGTTAGTTCATGTTTGAGTTCAAAATACAAATTGTAATACCAAAGTGTAATAGAATTTTTTATCAGAAAAAAAATTTAAAAATCCACAAATTTTTCACGACATCAAAATATTTTTCCAAAAATGTTGTGGTTATGTGTTTACCTTCTCTTCCATTAAGCACTTGATTAAGATTAATTTCTGGAAAGACCCCAGTCTCTCGTTCCAGTGACCCTTGACTCCGCCTTCCTTGGTCCTGTTGGATTCCTCAAGAGGCAGTAGATCTTTGACATAGCCCTCCCAGGTCTCTGGATTAAGTGATGCTTGAAAACGTCCTGGAGAAGAAAGAAGTGAAAAATGATTCCCAAAGGTTTATATGAAAAGCCTCTTCAAAAAACCTTTATATGGAGCACATGCATTACAGAAGTTGTATAATGTGTTGAATATGCTTGACCTGCCTGGACTTTCCATGATACTACTAAGAGAGGTGCAGTTACCTAGTTTAATATTGATGTGAGTCTTGGTGATTTCATTGGATATGCCTTTGAAACAGCGCAGGATGTGATCAAGTTGAAAACAAGTCTTCCAGTAAAAATCACTTATCCATGGTACATCAGGACGATCTGGGTTTTCCTAGAATCGTAAAACAAAGTGATGAAAAAACATGGAGTCGTCTGACGGTGATTCAAAACAGCATGCACAGGTTCCTTCTGTAGAAAAGGACATAAGTGCTCATGCAAGACACATTTAAGCTTCTGACAGCTGGATGACAGATGTAAGGATCATGGTGGGCAAATGACACTTGTTTCAGTGTGATGGAAAAAAGTGACATTAGCATGTGGTGCTATATTTTCATACAATTCATACATTTACCTTCGTATTTATGATTAGCATAAATTAAATTTTTCACCATCTCTCCCCATCGCTGAAGCTGTACTGTTACGTTCATAGTAGCTCACCTTGTCCGGTGAGGCAGCTCCTCGGAGGAAGAACTGCCACTCGACCTCTGAGATCTCTTGTCTCTGCCTCATGATGTCCACACACAACATGAAGCTGTAGATGAGCTTGTGCTGCTCAAACAGACCGCGAGACACGTTTATGTAGGAATTCAGCAGGATCTGGTCAAGTAGGATCTGAAGACGCTCCTCCAGGATGCTGCTCTTCTGGGATGTCTCGATTGTGGTGACAAACAGCTGTAGATTTGTTGAAAGAAAAACAAAACACAAATGACAGATTGAGATACTGATGAATTTGGACAGTGTAAAAAAATCAAAGTTGATCTATTTGAAAATGAGACAGCCAAGTGTTCCTTTCCTTTTCCTCAAAATCTTTTTAATTCTTTAGGGTAAACACGTCTAATTTTTAACATAATAAAATAACACATGGCCTCAGTACAGTTGTAAATAAATAATACAATTTGTAAGCCATGTTCTTGAATTGTGACAGTAAAAGAAGCTTTTTTTTTTTAAATGTTGGTCTACCTGTTTGAAGTACTTGAGTGAGAACTGGTACATTGGATCGATTTCAGAGAGACTGGCGACAACAAAATATAATACAGAGCCGCGGGTGGCTACGGGGCGGTATCGCTCTCTTGCTGTATTGATCATGACCTCTGTGGCCTCTGCTTCCTCTAGGCGAACTTTTATAGCCTCAGATGTCACCTGACAAAAACAAAAGCTTATTTTCTGATAGTGACAGACATAAAAAACATGTACTTCATATCAACATACCTTAGACTCCTGCAGCGTTTGAACAAGCTCCTCATTATCAAGTATATTTCCTTCAGATGTAAACAGCAGCTTCAGTATGCGGTCCTCAATGTCTTTTAGCTGGTTGCGGTCTTTGTTAATTCGAACAATCAGCTCATTCCTCTGCTCTTCCAGATGGGGACTCTCCAGGCGAACAACATCACTAAAAATAGCATTCAAGACTTAGAAATTGTAATTGTTGGTGGAGCTATAGGGCATTTTCACTTACCTTAGTAGTTGATCTTCTAGGCCAGACTTGGTCACAGTGAAATTAATAATAGTAACTTTGATACACACCTGAAAAAGTGGGAGAGTTACTTTAAAATAGTACAAAAACGTACATGTTTTAGCACTGTCTCAGGTTCTTCTTGACCCATGGGAAATTTGCATAACCAGCAACAATATCATGTTTTATTACCACGATGTTAAAATACTAGAGAGGGCCTGTTCTGAATAAAGTGGATAGATACACAGTAGATGCCTCAGCAGAAGACCTGACATGAACAAGTGACATGCATTGATTTATTTAACAGTTGCTGCTCTGAAACCGTAGGGATTTTGGGATGTGGCACTACTTTTATCTGTGCTTTTTCTACAATACAAAAACATTTACAAGACATTTATGTGTTTCTCACCTCTGGGAGATAATGTGGATTAGCCATTTTTGTTGTCATATAAAATTTGAAGTTTTTGTCATAGTCAATATCTGAGTCCCCAAGATGGATCAGAGTACGTCCACCTGATACAAAAGTCTGTTTCAGCAGAATAGGCTCCAAAGCAGGGTCCAAGGTCTCTTTAAGCTATAGATAAATTAACAAATAGTCAAAGGTCATTGTTTTTGACTAATATCAGTTCTATTATCACAGTAACAAGGCCTACCTCCTCCAACAGCACAGGCGAGCCGAGACGGATTGCATTTTCAAGTGTACGTAGAAAATTTGGGTCTGTTAATTTGATTACTTTTAAACCATTTTTGCCTTCTTTGGAACGAATCCACCTGTTGGCCTATTGAAACATAAAAATTGATTAATTTCATTTAAAAAATGCAAATGGACTATTTGGATCATGCATGGTATTTTTTCAGAAAGTGGCCCATTATACCTGGTCCTGTGGATCTATCATGAGAGGCCAACGGCGGCCCTGCGTCACCAAGATGGCGTTTTCTGTGGAAACTGTGTCTCGAGGCAGACCTTCTGTGTTCCACTGACGAATAACATAAGAGTCACCCAGAATCTTAATCAGGCTGAAGCTGGAGCTGATGGGAATATTCAGTCCTTGGCACTGTTTTATCCACTGCTCGATTAGCTAAGATAATATGTGGAATGTAAAAATTGTGCTATGATGACAGAATTATTTCTGTTATTCATTCAGTTCTGACAGGAGCTTACACTTACCAGCTGTCTATAGTGTGAGGTAAATGCTCCATAATATGCCACACAGGCAGCAGCAATAAAGACATTGCCCACAATGTTGATGATCTCCTGTTCAAACTGGGCAACACTCTGGTCCCAGCGAACCTGCTCGTCTCCAAGAGCAGATGTGAGTTTCCCTGCTCTACTTAACCGAGCCTGTGTCAGAGCCATGGTGTTCACTAGGTACAAGAGATTTAAAAAAAATAAATAGAAAATTATACCATTCAGCGCCATACTGCCCAGAGGAAGAGGAGTAGCTCTTACCGAGATCCTCCTTCTCTCTCTCACTGCTCTTAAACTGCTCATGTAAGACACGGATCTTGTTCTCAACTTCCATTAGCTTCTGCTGCTTGTCCCTTAGGGTTGCCATAGTCACATCCAGTTCTTCCTATATGAATTAGATTTCAAGGAACTAATATTATGTAACAATATGACAATGTCTAATCTGGTCTATATAACTGACTATAGAACTGTAAGTACAATGCATTACCGTACAACTAAAAATAGCATATTAGCTGTAGAAGGACTAGTGTTAGCAGTGTCTGCAGACATACTTGTGCTTTGGCCAGTTTTTCTCTTTTAGGGCGAACTTCTTTCAGAACCTTGCTGTACAGATCCATCGCTCTGACCCACATGCACATTGATTTGCAGGCTCTGGAAACTTTCTCGACCTATACAAAAAATAATTAGAAGAACAATTTCCAGTACAAAACTACCCTGCTATGTATGAGTTTTAAATCATTTTCAGACAAACCTTTTCGGGGATGAAATCTGGATTATTAACATATTTCACTAGCTTTTGCAGGATCTGTGGCTTAATATTGTCTTTGTCATAGTCAGTTAGACGCTTGAGAAAATTTGAATCTCCAAGTAACTGCTTAGCGCTTGGCCAATCTGGTCTGCAAAGGATGTAAAATAGACATTATCTGGAAGTTAATGGGCAGTGTCCTTTGTGAATAAATCAGTTTAAGTTGACCCTAGTACCAAGGGTTTTTGACACTGTATTTATGACTTCAGACCAAAACAAGGCTCATTTAACATACACAATGCCTTCTTAGAAAACAATGGGCAGGCAGAAGATAATATTGCCCATACCAAAACAGTATTATTTTGACCTAGACCAAATCCACAGCACCGCAGTGAGGACTGATCGATTAAATTAGAGAGGTGACAGAGGGAAAGGTGCCAAGTCATGAGATGGTATGGTAATTCTCTGGATGTTGACTATAGGTGTATAATATGTGATATTAAAAAAGGAAAATCACTCAGCAAAAACAGCAAAAAAGTGCTGAGGTTCTCACTCACTTGCAGTTGAGCAGGATGCAGACAGCTTCCATGACGGTCATGACCAGGTCAGGGGGCTTAGTAAACACTTTGATCTCTGAGATGTCAGCCTTGTCCAGGGAGTTCAGGGCCTGATTGGCTCCCTCCAGAGCAGGCAGAGCCTCATCTAAGGTCCCTTTGGGCATCATCAGCAATGGCTTGCGTTTCGCTTGCCTGGTACTTAGCTGAAGCCTCATCTTCTTTAACCACACTACGGACCTGTTATATATACACACATACAATATACACACATAAAATGACAAATATGACAAAAATGTTACATGTACAAAAAGCATTTGCATCTAAAATGTTGCACAGCTGTGTTTCATGCTTACCTCATCAGCTTTCTCCTGATCAACAACGAGCTTCTTCATCAGAGCATCAACATCAATAGACTTTTGTTGAAGAACTGGCTCCAAAGCCGACAAGTCCACTTTCATTTTGTCCACTAGCTTATTGGTCTCAAGCAACTTTGTCAGTCCATTCTTCACACGGTCCTTTGCCTTTTAATGAACATAGATGCATTATTATAGGAATGCAGTGTACACATATGTAGAAATGCCAATGAAAGATATTAACTTACAAGGACTAATTGTTGTTTCTTTTCCCCCAACATGGACAGGTAGAGGTTAATGAGCTCCAGGTATGAGGTAGGTGTGGTGTAATACCTGCGTCTCAGCTCGGAGTAGTAGCGCTCAGCCATGTCGGACACACTCACATGTATCTCCACACACATGGTGGAAAAGCTCTGTTTCAGAAGAGCACTGCCAAAGTCTATGTTCTGGAAAAAGGCCTGAGAGACAGAAAGCAGAGCCTCCCGTGGCCACTAGAGGAGGAAAAATACATATATTATTATTGTATATAGTACTGTGAATGCTAAAAATGGCCAGTTATGTTTAAATGTACATATACCTGTATAAACCAATCAATAGTGCAACAGTTGACAAGTGAAGGGAACATCCGGCATCGGGACCTAAAGGCATCACCTACAGGGCTCATGCACAACACTATGTGCAGTTTCTCTCGAACACGAGAAATGAAGTACTGGAAAACCTAGAACGTAAATTGAAATGCAAGCATATTTTGATAGGCATTTCACACTTCTTGTGACAGAAAACTTCTAAATATTGTTTGAACTTGTTTTGGTGTTTTGTCACTCTTTGCTTGTACCTCGTCCCGGTTCTCTTCACTTATTCCAGCCTTTTTCGCTTTTGGCCGAGTGGCTGCCAGGACTTGTTCCAACTCATCCTTCTCAAAAAGATTTGGCACTTCACCAGAATTCAGCATGTTGTTGATATCTTCCAAAAACTCTTCCACCACAATCTGCAATAATAAATAATTCAAAGTAAGATCCTGGATTTTTGGGCCCCTATCCATCAGAAGTGGTGCATTTGTACCTGAGTATCAGTAAAGAGAAACACCATATCTTTGCCTTCCACACCAGCCATCTTATAGAGCCTCCTCAGGTCTTCATGAAAGCTGTCATAGTTGTAGCCTCGGGTTAGTTCGATTTCAAAGCACCGATAGCCACACATATGAGCTGCTAGTCTGGTTAGAGACTGCTTTCCTGTTCCTCCCACCCCCACAAGGAGTGCATTTCCTCTCTCTTGGCGAATCACACGGGCAATTCTAGAAAGAATATAAAATTGTAAAAAGTTTTTCCTCTTTTTGTCACAAATCTGAGCAAAACATAAATCTAAAAACTCAGACATACCTAGAGACATGTTCAGTAGCATCCTGGAAGAAAACCAACTTCGTCTCCTTGGAGAAGGTCAGGTTGTAGTCATCAAGGTAGTCTTGCAGGACAGCCTGTATCTTCTCTATGTCTGTTAGATCTTCATATATGCGGTCTTCTTTCTCTGCACCCACCTATAATACATCCTCACAATAATATGAAGTAACGGTTGCATGTGAACGTTCATAAATTGTGATTAAACTTACCGTCATAAAGTCCCCGAATATAATTGGATGTGTCACAAAGCTTTCAGGCTCCATAGTAATGCTAAAATATCTACCTAGGTGATGAACAAAACTATTACAACACATTTTTGCACCCAACATAAAATGAATGTGTGTTGTTTTTTACTTACTGGCCATATCACAGATGATGGTATTGAAGTAAGCCTTATCCTGGTTGTTTATAAGACGGTCATGAAATACTCGCTGGCATTCATGACAGAAAAGGCGAAAGATCTGATTCTTTGTTTTCACATAAGTAGAATCACACTGTAATATGCCTGTTTATTCATGAAAAAAGACAGACACGCGTAAATAAAATAATAATAAATTAGCTAGTCTTTTTATATTCCTGCAGTATCATGTCTGTCTTCTGATTTAGCATTGTGTTTGGTTTTTATTATTCTACAGCTTCATGTGTTGTAAATGTCATTTGTTCTTCACTTTGTTCCTAAACAGCACGCTGTCAGATGTGATACTTGCATCTGTTCTCCACGAAGGCCTGTGTTTACCTTGTGCCTTAAATGTCTGTGTTTGAAGAAGTTAAAGCATTACTTTGCATCTCACCTTGAACACACTTGGAAAGGTCCCTGAGATTGAAGACATAGTGAGACTTTGCTGGAGTGGGGAGCAAATCCAAACTCAAACGATTGTAAATCTCCACAGCTGCGTCCACAATGTGAGAGGAGCAGGCCTTTGCTTCCCCTGCAAACTCGGTGAGGAAACCATTTAGGATAGCCTGGAGCGGAGTTTAGAGGTAAAAGAGGAATAAGAGAAAGGCTAAGAGAAAAGGGAACAACTACATGGTCTGGCCTCACAAAAATATTGATTGGAAGCTGAAAAGGTGTGACGGCTGAATAAAGTTGGTATTGTGAACAAATGGATTGGTAGATAGATAGAGGTTTTGCTCTCACCGTGAAGATCTGTTTGAGGCACAGCTCTGATGGTGTAGGCAAACACAGCATACTGAAGTGGCGGATAAATCGAGGAGTTATTGGGTTGCGGCCACCTCCCGGAGGAGCACATGCAGCTGCAATAGTCATGTCCTTGTACAGCGAATAGAATACTTGCATTAACAGGAAATACAAATGTGGTGTGCCAGACAAACAGTATGTAAGCCATGTTTCAAATTAGAGTACTTTTTCAAAGATCAAATACATTTACTTTACAAAACATATAAACAGGTTACCTGGATCTCTTTCCAAAAGAACTTTCCTCTGTCGTAGAACCCAGAGAAGTCTTGGAACTGACGGAGGAGTTCGATGGGTGGCTGAGAACCATAGCTGTCCAGCTTAGGCATGTTCAAGTCATCCACAAAGACTACCAATTTTTTATTTCCAGGAGCACCTATTAAAAACAACAATTTTACTTTACCCAACCACACAAGCATTATATAGGCTACATGTGAAAGAAAAGAGTAATATGTCGTGGCCAATGTCTTCCAGTATTGTATATTTGTTGTTTACCAAGAATATTTTTTCTCTTCTTTTCCAGTTTAGACTCAATAATTTCTTGGGTGCGTGCAGAGGAAGTTTGAGCAGAGAAGTTGATGAAGATGGGAAGATATCCTTCCTTTTCTTGTATCCTGTTTAGTAGATCACGGGCAACAACTGACTATAAAAACATCAAAATACATGCATTATGTTTTTCAAATAGTGTTTATAACCTATTTTTTATAATACATCATAACTTTGCATATATACCTTCCCCACTCCAGTATCACCAGTGAAAAGTACAGAGCGTTGCACAGACAGCAGTTTCTCCATCAAATACCCATATCGCACAGTGTCTGGGGTTGGGACCAGCATCTCAAAAAATGGCTGCTCACTATTGTACTTAAAAGCAGGAATGATTTTGTCCCACGGTTGGAGACGAATGTTCTTAAAATTCATGTGTACATTCCGTAGAACCATTTGCTCTGGAATCTGTAGTTTAGGATTAAAACAAACATCGAACAATTATTAAACAGATGCAAATCAAAATGTTGCTATAACTGTTTCTTTCTTAAACTAAAGCATCAACCTATGGTAAATAAATTAATGTATGTAAATGATTAATGTTTGTACCTCGGCATCCCTGTTGCCTGAAAATTGTTCTTTAACAAAAGCCTCAAAGGACTCCCAGTATGTGCTTGTCAGATTGCCTCCAACAGACCAAATATAGCAGAAGACAAATGTCTGGCAAATAACCCTGTTGAGATCACGTGCATCCTAAAAAAAACAAGACAAATGCCCAAGATAAATCTTGAAACTGTGATGTTTTAAAAATCCTCCACTTCAGTAAATAAAGGAATAATAACAGATGTGAATCTTTAAATTGTGATCTTCTACTGTTTGTATACCATTGTAAATCCAGGTCCTTCCTGGCCAAGCAGCAATACTTCAAGTAAAGCACAGAGAGTGGTGACTTTACTTATGTCCACTTGGCGAATAGCCTGTATACAGTTCTTTGAGACAAACTGAAGACCCTTCTCCACGTAGTTTTCAAATAACCCCAGGAGATATTTGCTGACTGCCTCTGGAAACTGAAAAAAAAAAGTAAAATGAATGATAAAATATCAGTTTTCTTTTAATTAAATTAGCTTTTAGATTTTGCAGTAAATCATGATATGTGAGCATGTTATGAGTGGTAACAACACACACTACTATATAAAATATCGAATGAGTTTATGTAAAATACAAACACAGAATAGTGTAACCTTGTCTCCGAGACCATTGATCCATGTCTGAACATAAGGCATCCATTTGAGCTCATCTGGATCAATATATACCATTCCACATCGACTGACAGTTGCTGGAGAAGCCACAGCCAGATCTTGAACCTACAAAAGCAGTTACAACAATTTTAAAGATGTGCAAAACTATAACAAATAAAAAGATTAATGTACAGTATATGCCAACCTCAAACACCATGTGAATTGATGGAGTGAGCTTGATTCGTTCACTATTGGCCAGACAGAGCATCTTGTTGTCATCAAGCACAGTGTTCATGTTCTCAATCCACAGGGCGTCCACGGGGCCATCACATATGACCCATTTGTGATCGTCAGTCGTGTCACTAACTGCATCACGAACACTCAACGCCATCAGTCCATCAATCCACTCAAGAGTCAAATTGTTCATCTATGGAGAACAGAAAAAACAAAAAACAAAAAAAAACATTCCAGTACATCAATTTTCTAAAATATCTATTAAATTAGTGTTGATGATCAGCAATACCTCGCCATAGAGTTCTCCCATTGTCACTGATTTGGGGTTCAGAACATAGGTCTTGACTGGCTGGTAGAAGGGGTTGGTTTCCTTATACTCTGAATTATAAAGGGTCTCCAGTGTGTTGGCCAGAATAGTGTAGACAGTAGTTTTACCCCCTCCAGTTGGCCCAACTAACATAACTCCATGGCGCACTAGCATAGTCTCATACAACTGGATTACCTGAAATTCAAATTAAGAATACTATAGTATTTTTTTTTTTTTTTTTAAAGAAAACGTCTTCTTTAAAAAGACAAAAAGAGTTGACAGTCATTACCTTTTTGGTCATTGCAGGCAGAGGTTGTAAATTGCCCTTAACTAGACACTCTACAATAGTGGAATGTAGAACACCATAGTCATGCTCAGGGATTGACACCCCAGGAAATAAGTCAGATAAGATCCCACTATAAGAATGCAAGAGCATTTTATGAAATATAAAAAAAAAAAAAAACAAATTAAATTAAAATATATATTTTCTTATGTTTTCTAACATATATGACCAAAGTCTTTACCCAAACAAGACAGCATCATCTGTGAGAAACTTTGGAAGGTTAGAGTCCCGCAAAGCTCGGATAAGTACCACATCTTCACTGAGGTGGGGGTTGCTCCTCTTCAGGGATCTAAATATATAGACATGCAAGAATAAGAACAAGTAGGTGTATGCTTATTTAAGCTAAAAACACTGACACATTGCAGCATAGAAGAGTTTTGCTTTGCCTGTTTTTATGATTTTTAAACAATATGTAGTCAGTGTAATCACAAATGCAGCACAACTTTTCCCTTTTCC